CAAAATAAAGCGACCGCTTTCCTCACAGAGCCAACAGCATCAAGCAAAAGCAAAAAACGTTATCTGGCGGATTTAGCTTTTTAGGATTTGCATTCACCGTTTAAATCACAAAGAAAATCCCGTGTTCTCGTGAATAGAATTCTTTGCATGACAACTCCTGGTTCCACAAAGCCCCCCGAGAATAACTTTGGCATGTTTCGTTAGGCAAAAAAAAAAAAAATAGATCCAAAAGTATCGAGATTCCCATTAAAATAGCATAACACGTCAATCCAGAGGGAACGGATGCACGTAACCGAGGTGCACGAGTTACTACACGCTAACTATCCAAAGTACTTAAACAACTCAAGTGTTACCGTTACGCCTCTATATGTATGTACACGCTCACACTCACACACGCAGAGGGAGGACTATGTACAAACCAACGCCTGTACCCAGTAAGAGTTAGCAGATACCAGTGGGCTACTCCCAGTGACACACAGTGTCACAAACATTATGGCATTGACCCCCCCACCCCACCCCCAGTTATTTAAATAAAACTATATCAATAATGTACATTTCATATTTTTGTTACATTCAAGGTATAGATACAATTTGTATCAACAAGCAAAAGTCAATTCTAGACATTTGTGGCTTATTTGTTTGCGGCACAAAGAAAAGAGAGGGTCGGGGGGAGCGTACCACCGTTCTGAGCTTTAGATCCACCTCCCGCTGAAACACTGGACCTGTCCACAGACGCCGTTTTCTACGAGGGAAAACGGCTTTAATTCTTTTGGGGGTGACAGAGAGAGCCGGCTTTGTCTGATGGAAGCAGCCTATTGCCCAGAGGAAATGGGGTCTTTTTCTATTTTTCTTATCTGCCTTTGAGTTAAAAACCTTTAAGAACTGCAAGCAAATCAAAAATATCCCCGCAAAGCTCCTCCCAATCTTTTAGAAATGTTTCGAAACGAATGGGAAATAACTTTCCTGTCTTAATTCCACACATTTGATGTGTCATGGATCTCGTCTGGGCCATAAAATGATTCCAGGGTTCAGATTAAAGTTGGCTCTCATCACCACAAGTCAAAACAACTCATCTCCACTCGGTTTCAAATATCATGTCAATTTTCTTCTCTTTTTTTTTTTTTTTTAAATATGTACATTTCAGCGGGGGGACGCAGCTCTGCGAACTTTCTCTCACGTTTGGGACATTTCAACCATCTCTGGGAAAAAGGGCGGCGCGCAAACTTCAAGCGAAATGCCAGAAACAACCTTGACAGCAGCCTTGCAATCTGATTGTTTCACATGAAGAAACATTTAGGCAGTTTGTTTCACCTTCTCATGAACGGACCAGCGGCCTAAAGTGGCCGTGTCCTTTTTCATGAAAAAACAAAGTCGTCAAATTTTCCCAAAATTCATTTGGGCGAAACACATTCAACTTTTTTTTCCTTTTTTTTATTTTTTTTAAATGTCTGTTCATATACCACGATTTTACCCAAACATTATAAAGAAATATAGATCATTTAAAGCACCGCCAATGAGTCAGGCTCACACAATTAGCCCTGTTAAAGAGTAATACCACTCACTTTGAAATGCTTTCATCAGGAACACAATTCAAGCGTCGCTTGATGATTTTTAACGCAATTTATGGGCCTTTTCTGGACACCATTTCCTTATTTGAACTATCAAGGCATTAAAAAAAATGCCTAGTAAAGCATTTTTTTTATGGTAATGTGGAAAAATGTGATTGTTGCAATATCAATCTTTAATGCACTTAATCAGTCCTAAAAAATAAGTGGCATTTCCCTTTAAAAGCAGTCAAAGTGTGGCCATGCTGTTGGGGAGAGCTTCTAGTGGTGCAGAGCAGAGGAAAGACGAGCTCCAGTTCTACAAACCCATCGTCCCTTTTAAATCAGATGGAGATGCAGTGCTATGAAATTGAAGGTTTCCCCCAGTTAGATGGGTTAGATGGGGGAAAAAGGACCTTTTTTCGTGGCCTCTGAGGAGCTTCAGTTTAGCTCCACTGTCAGTAATGCAGTCTCAATTATTAAATTGAGTCAAACATTGTGCAAAATCACTTTTGTATATTGATTCTTGAGCCTGTGTTGTAATATAGAATAAGTCTATTAATGAATTGATATTTAACGTCACCCTCACCAAGAGGAAAATGCAGCCAATTGGTGGTTAAATCTCACCAAAGACAATGGTTTGTATTCAACATACATCGTTTAAAAAATATGTTTTTACATATTTTCAAAAGCTTTTCCTGGACCCCAAACAGAACTTCCTCTGACTGAAACGGCACCACACAAACTCCCCCCAACAGCTCGCTGTTTAAGATCTCAAGGTGCATAAATGAGATACACACAAAAAGTACAAAGTTTTGCAATTCCATTTCCGTATAACTGTACAGAGCTAAATGTGCGGTACTACATGTTACATGTAGGACTTTCACCAAATAAACCACTACGCGATTCGGATAGGTTCCTGCCAGAAAGCACTGGGAAAATGGGAAAATGAAAGCATCCTGAGAGCACTGTGCTGAAGGCACGCTCAAACCCTGCCACCCCCCCCGTTCCCCCCATTCTACTCGTTCCCCGTCGTGTTTCTGTAAAAACGTGCACTTCAGAAGCCTCGTCTCCCACTAAAAGCCAGGCAGGGAAACTCTGGGCCTTTATCCCTAGCGTTTACTCGAGCTTTGAAACCTCTTATTCTACAAGGTGTGACGGGTTTCGACCCTCGTCAACCAAGTGCCGACTAACGGTCGTCATAGTTACGACTTTGTGCCACTTTACGCTGATGGACCGAGTCCCCATTTCCAAAGGAAACACCAAAATATGGGATTTAACCGGGTGTGTCAGTCTGACACTGAAAGGCTCGGTTTCGTGCAGAAAAAGTTCATGTGCAATAAAAAAAAAAAAACAACAAAAATAAGCCAAGAGTTGGAACAGATTAACAGCTTTTCTCCCCTCTCGAGCCACGTAAATGTGCTTACTGTTCTAAAACCAGTTGTGTACCTTACTGGTACCTGCTTCAGTCTTTAAACATCCCAGAGAAGTTTCACCACATGCACAGAAGAAACCAGCGTCAAGGGATGGAGTTAAGGCATGGAAATGAATAACTTCATTCGTTTTTCTAAAACCACATCTCACTTAACCTACATTTCAAGATATTTCTCAGTTTCAGTGAACGTTTTCTGATTTCTAAACGGTGTGAATTTACAGAAATGCCTTGCTATCGGAGTAAAGCGTGTCAGCCTGATACTTACAGAGTCTGGAAATACTGTCTTTAAGTGGTAGTGCTTTTAAAAAACAAACAAAAAAAAAAAACTACAATGCAATCAGGAATCAGGTTATTGACAAAAGTGAGTGATCAGACCTCTTAAGTGCCTGTAAAAGTGGTCTGACGCTAAACGAACCTGTTCCTGAAAAAAACTGCTCCGCTGACAACTTGAGGAAGTCCATGAGAGCTACTATTTCAAGCAAAGATACTTTGATTACTTTAACATTGAAAACAATCGGCACAATAAATCGGACAAATACACAGTATAAATAGCAAAATCCCAGATGTAGCATCGAAGAAACTCGGAAAAGTTGCTGTACATACAAAAGAAATGATCCAAATACAGATGCCACTTTATACTGTAGTCCAATTGATCCTATGAACCAAAATCTAAATATGTGTAGACACGAGAGAGCCTCTGTCTTTTTTTGGCATTATTTAGCAGCTTATAAATAACTTTGAAATAATGGCTTTTGTGTGATAATATGTACAGAAATGAGTGCACGTGTATCCAAGTCAAATCTCTTTTTTGGCTCGCTTTGTGCACTTGTCAAATCCTACCAAAATAGTAGCTTTGTTAAGTCAGACTGAGAAAATATATCTCTTTAGGTACTACGATAGTGCTTTACATTTGAAAGGTTTCAATGACGAAGACTTCCACTGAAACCAAGCAGACAACGACGAAAGCGTGAGGTCATTCAGATATAAGGCCATAAAATGTCAGAGTTCATGCTGTGAGGTATATACCTACCTCCCACTTATTTATCTTAGAATTAAATGCACTAATAAGGTTCAAAATAAAAATATCAAAAAGGGAAGAAAAAAGGAGACAAAACAAAGACAAAACAAAGAGTTTACAGCAGAGGCAGACCCCAGCCGGGTTAGTCCGAGTTCCACTACACAAGAAACACTTCAGGTTTGGCCTCCATAGCACGTCCACAGCAGCTGAGCAGGATCCTCTTAAAAGCTGTACAAACAGTGTACAAACCAATTTAGATTAATTAGGATTAGATTAAGCCTTATGTGTGTGGGGGGCTCAAATTATGAAGAATAAACATTTGACAAAAGCCAACTCTGAACCCGTATGGAGTCTGTACAGAACAAATTCAAATAAAACAAAAATTTGTGTCATGTCAGATATGTGTAATTGATCATGACAAGAAGGCATCTTCTACATAAATTTGACACCTATTCTCCGTCATGTTTCCACTAATAGTTGCTTGTTTCATTTTACCTTTCAGCTGAATGAAAGCCAGAACCAAACACAGCCACCAAAACCAAACGCTGAACACTGAACCCAACACCAGGCCTGCCTCTGAGCCAAAAAGAGACAGTTGTGTCGTTTCAGTTTCTTGTTTTGGTCCAGTTTTTTAATCAATTTTTTTTAAACGGAGGCTAACAAGCCAGTCCAAATGTTTAATTTAAAACTAATCTCAAAGCCTTCTTTTCTACGTTTATCTATAATCAATTATGTTGAACAAATGCTTGATAGTTGCTCCTGCTCAGGCAATGTGAATGTGTTATGACTCTCTCTAAAAAGTTATTACTTCACATTGGCTGCATGATTCTTCATATAAAACATCCTCGGTGCTGATTTCCTCTATAATCTTAGCAATTTAGAAATCTGATCGCCTTTATTCCGGCCCGGGAAAAAGAGACTAAATGAGAAACCCCTGAGGGCAGATGTTGCTCGTGCAGTAGCACTAAACAAATACCGGCCTTTGCGATCCACAATCCTCCTTTTTTTCCCCCCTCCCCCTCCTCAGTGGCACGACCTCAGCTTGGTGACGATGACGGCGGCGAGCTGCTGCGGGTCCGTCAGGTGGGGGTTCTTCTCCATCACCGAGTGGACTATGTAGGCGGGGAATATGTTGCAGAGGTTCCTGTAGGTCTGGTACTGGTGGTCGGGGATGACGTAGCGCTCCTGGTGCTCGGCGGCCGACAGGCTCTCCCACGGCGAGCTCCAGATCTGCTCCATTTTGTCGGGCATGCTGCGCACCATCACCCGCTCGCAGCACGGCATCAGGCTGTTGCTGAGCGGGTAGGAGTGGTACCCGTAGGACTCGTTGGCGCAGGGCAGCGGGTCCCAGCTGGCGTGCTGCTCGCGGCACAGCGGAGGGCGCCTCTGTCTCATGGGGTTGCTGTCGTACAGCCTGGAGTCCGATATGCTGTCCATGCGGGTCATGCCCAGCGAGCGCGTGGGCTGCGAGGACAGGGGCGGCAGGACGCTCTGCGCCAGCGGGTAGTCCCCGGGGCAGCTGGACCGCGCCCCCACGGCGGCGTGCTGGACGTGGGGGGCCAGGTGGGCGCCGGGCTGCTTGCGGGGCCCCTGCTTGGGCTCTTCGGGCCCGTAGCTCTGCACCCGGGAGAGGACTTCGTGGCGGAAGCCGTGGGAGAAGGCCTGCATGCGGCCCTGAGCGGCGGCCTGCTGCTGCCCCTTCAGGCTCTCCTCCAGGCTGCCGTCCACGGAGCCGGGGTACAGCTCGCCGTAGGAGGAGAAGGAGTCGCTGTTGGAGTGGCTGAGGCAGGGTTCGGGGCAGTGCCCGGGGTTCCTCTGGTACACGTGCTCGTGCTCCATGCTACAGAAGCTGTCCACGTTGTGCATGCTGCTCATGCTCATGGTGGAGAAGTCGCTGTGCAGCGAGTAGTACCCGTGGTCGCTCACCGAGTCGTACTTGGGGAACTGCTCGCCGTAGGTGACCGAGGCGCCGTGGCTGTTGGTCACCAGGATGGGCGGGTACTGCACGCTGGACATGTGCTCCAGGGAGCTGTGGGCGAACTGCAGCGAGCCGGGCACGGGGCTGCTGGCGGAGCGCGTGTTCAGGGCCCCGGCGGCGTGGCTCTTGGCGGGCTGCATGGTGGGCACGCTGAGGGCGGACACCAGGGAAGGCACTGAACTGGCCTCAGACTTCCTGGCGGCGGAGAGGGCCTCCGGAGGCTCGCAAGCCACCGCGCGGATGCTGGGGTCGGACTGGCGCTTGGGGGCCACGCGCTTGACCTCTGAGCCGCCGTCGCCCTTGGCGGCGGCCGGCCCCGTGCCGCATTTGGCCAAAGCGCCCTCGCTCATGGTCTTCACCGCGGACAGCTTGGCGAACGCTCGCAGCTCGTCGGCCACGGAGCGCAGCGGCTGGTTGACGCGCTCCGGGTGGTAATATTTGCACTTGTGTCCATACGTGCACTTTTTCCCTGGTGGGAAGAAATAGCATTTTAAGTCAAAGACCAAACAGACACAGAGATTTGTCTGAAACCAGCGGAAGGGGGACTTTACCGTAGGGGCAGGGCTGCTTTTTGTGCTCCGGAACAACGGGCCGCTTGCGGAGAAAATTTTCCAAGCTTGGCCCATGTCTTCCTAATGGATCATCGGGCGGCATAAACCTGTTATAAACAGTCATCCAAAAGCATATATTGCTGAATGTCTGATGAATTACTGCCAGAACAGTGTGTCTCTGCCACATAATGAAATAAATGTCCACCCCAATTTTCTATAACTAAGGATTATGATACATGAATGGCCATTTATGCTAAAAACAAACACTTATACAACAGTATGTTGAGCTATATAGTTTCTAATGTTATATTTCTGATATTGTGTTGTTGTTTTTTGTTAAACAGAACATTTGTGTTAAATTTATCTGTATTCTAAATGGGTAAAGCAAACAGTCCTTGAACATAGTTTCTTACTTGTCATTGACAAACGAATACATCAGGAGACGCTCTTCTATAAACTTCTTCCACTCTGGCTTCTCATTTTGTAAGTCCCTGTAGTTGTCATTTGACACAATAATTCCATCAGAATCATACGCCAGCTTCACTATGAAGCGATCATCGTAGCACACCACTCTCCTGCCTTGAACTCTCCGGGATGGGGTGAAAACCAGGATCTTCTCTTTCTCCAGCTTGCGCAATATTTCTTGATCTGAAACAGAAGTGCCCTGACAGCTCAAAAACTCCACCTTAAAGAGCCAAACTTTTCATCTGCCTCCCATCCAGTTGCACCAAAAATGTCCAAAAGGGCTTTAAGTACCTGTGATGAGCGCATCGGGCCTCGACTGCTCCTTCCTCCAGGCAGGGACGAACACTGTGATGTCTTTGTGTCCTTTCTCCAGAAACCACTCTACAGCAAGCTGGATACCGCGGCAGGAGAAGACCTCCTTGTTTCCATGGCTAAGTAAACAAGATCAACACTATAACATCCACCTGACATTGGTTGGTATAAAGGTGCGTTCTGTCTAGGGATGTCCCGATCCAGATTTTTTCACTTCAGATCCGATACCGATCCCGGCATGTATTAAACATGTATTAAAGTATAAAGTTATTAAGCCTACCTAGTTAGTTGTCAGACTCATGTTTAACAGGGATTTACTCTGATAATAACTTAATGGTTAGGACACAGACCTGTGGGTCAGGAGATGCTAATGCTCATACTAATGCTTGTGTGGGATCAGACTGAAGTCTGGATTTTCTCCTGCTGCCCGATACACATTTTTTTTGCAAATATCGGCGGCCGATTTGATCCAGATATCGGATCAGGACAAGCCTAGTTCTGTCTGAAACGGGCCTGTTGGTGTTCCTTACCTCATCGCCACATTTGAGCCATCGATGACGATGGGCCTGAGGTTGTCACAGGTGTCCACAGACTCCTCTTCCACCGAGGCCTCCGGGCTGACCGTCTCCTTGGCGCAGGGCGACCGCGGCGCGCTCGTTGCCGTGGCGCCCCCGGGCGGCCCCTCGGGCTCCGCCTTGTTCCCGAGCCGCACCAGCTCCGCCAGGACGTCGTTGATCAGCGCGGCGGCGCCCAGCTTGTGGAGCACCGTCTCCACCTGCTCCCCGGAGTAGCCCAGCTTCAGAGCGAACTCCATCTTGGTCTGGTACTCCTTCTCGCTGGCGGGTTCCTCGCGGGCGTCCTGCGCGGTGCTGCTCTGGGAGAAGCTGGGCCGGTCCAGGCAGGGCGAGCGGCAGAGCTGCCGGTGGGGCTTGGTGACGGTCAGCGGCTCCCGTCTCCTGCAGCCGCCGCCGGCCGCCTGAGGCCTCCGGGGCCGCTGCCCCTCCGATTCGCTCTCCGAGCTGCTGCCGTCCTCCGACTCGTCAGTGGCATGCTGCGCCTCGCTTGAGTCAACGTTCTCCCTGCATGGGCGTTTTTCCATTTTGAGCTTCTCCACCATGGACCATGCTGTCATCACGTTCGTCCCGACACCTCAGATTTCCACTCCATGCTTCCTCACCTCCGCCGCATCCAGGGAACCATACCGAGCGTTGGACGTTAGCACTACGGGGTCCTTTAAGTAGGGCCAAAGTCAGGGGTCTCCCGTTTATAAGCAGGCAGAAGTCTGATTAAGTAATCCTGTGAAAAAGAAAAAGAAAAACATTGGTACTGATGATGTGATGCTTTATTGAACTTTACAATGAGTTTTATCATTAATTTTAAATCATTTTCAGTCTTTTCTATAAATTTCTAATCCAAGTCCAAGTCTGCTTGTAAAATATCCTAAAATGAGAGCCCCACTTTTTAAATACAGACTTAGCACAAATGTAAAGTGTGTCAATGTTAAATTATGCTTATTCCATCGATTGCATACAAACAAAAACATAACTCTATTTCAGGCGTTTTCTTTCTTGTTTGGAACCTGTGAAAAAATACACTAGTAAAGGACCAATTTTTTTTTTTTAAAGCCATGTTTTTAGCTTACTTTTTGTGGAGAAAAAAAAGAAGACAGGAAAAAAAAAAATCACAGTTCTGGTACAAAGCGTGCTAATGCATTGCGGCACAACCCCGGCCCCTACGAGCACAAAAGCCTTCCCGGTGTCACGAGCCGCCTCTGAACCAGACACATGGAGGGAGTGCATGAGTTAGCATCCCCTGAAATTGTGTGGGTTGAACACTGTATGCCTGCACCTCAATCAGAAGTGAGCAGAGCTCCGCGGGGAGCTCGGCCGCTTTGCGGGGCTCCGGCTGGACCTGCAGCACCAGCTGAGCCACACGGCTGATTCCCCCCCACCTCACATTAAAAAAAACAATTAACTGTTTTTATAGGATGCGCACGGATAAGCGGGAAGACTGGAATACACTTTCACCTCGACTTGCAAAGAGTAGAATGCAGCGAGCTTCGAGCTTCAAGAGGCACAGCCCATGATGTGTGTTGCTTAGCAACGCAGCCTTGTCATCGGCTAACTCCTTTTACCAGTCACGACTAACACAAACAAAGCTCATCATCTCTCTTCATACAGCCAGTAAATGCAGAACACTTGCACTTACACTGCAACACTTCCCCAAAAGTCTTGAGGAGGCTTATTCTGGCGTTTGAATAAAAAAATCTGCTAAAAATCCATTAGTATCATCTCAGTACTAATCCTGTCTGTGAGAACCACTGAGAATAGGACTGCAGTGTATCTGTCTTGGATCCTGAGAGAATCTTTCTACATGCAGCGATATTTAGAGCTGGCATGTCTTTTGGGGGTCAGTCAGGGGTTTAACAGATACTCTTTTTATTCCTTTTTGTAGTTATAACGTCAGTGAAACGGCAAGTTTAGAGACAAGCTATGGCTTCAATATCTGAACTACCAGCTAAGTAGAAGGGAAATCTATGTGCTATTGTGGAACTTCAAGGATTAGCGGCAGACAAAGAGCAATGGCTCACACAGCCCACTGCCATTTAAGTCATTTCACGTTTAAAGGAGAAGAGCTCTTTCCTTCCCACCTCCAGATTCACAGGCGTCGTCTCAGCAAGGCCTCCGGACTCCGGCTGCACATGCACAGGCTCGTGTGGATCTGTTTCATAGCAACAAGTGAAGCAGGCCCATGAAGCCACATCCTCACTGGTGACCCTCCTCGGTTTCCAGAACCGAGGAGGCACACAGTCTAATTCGGCCTCGTTTGTAGATATAGCTTAAAATCTGAAAATGAACCCCCATGATAGAACCAAGGTTAGGCTGCACAGAGAACTCTGCCTCAGAGCAACCGAGTTAGAAAAACTACCTGGGATTCATCACAACGAGACAAGTTGGTGGTGCACTGGGTGTTGGTTTGCCTCCCCAACTTACTGCTTTACTACTGAACAAAAGGCATGAGGCTCATGCACTCTGAGAAACATTTTATGGTCACCTCATGAGCAACTTTTTGCAAAACTGCTCAAAATTAACATTGTGAGTACATACTTGGACAGCGGTTCCTGCAACAAATATTTAACTATTTCAATGTAAAAAAAAAGAAAGGAAAAAGAGGAAGAAAAACTCTGTATATTTGTGGTGAATTGGCTTTTTGTACAACCATAAAAGACTGCCAGAGAAATGACTACTCAAGGAAACTGTTAGCTGAGGCTCAGAGGCCCGTAAAAGCGATTCTAAGATGTTTTTTTTCATAAATCACATTAATAGTGACAAATGAAGCCTCACTACCTATACAGACACACAACTGGTTCCACTGATGCTCCACGTGCATTTTTAAACCAGTAACTAATTCACAATCTGTGAAGGCTATATGGGGTGAGAGATGGAAAAAGAGAGACATTTACCTGGCCCACAATACTTTCAATATTTTCAAGTTTTCTACAATATTTTGTGGCCACACAAAAAACAGGGACAAAATTCAGAGACGATGACACACTCACTGTGTGCTTTGACTGAGAGGCTTTCTGCAACAACTACAACATTACATTTATATAAACAATGTAAATGCAGTAAATATTGGTGCATATTATGGATAGGGCATTCAAAGTCTAGCAATAATACACCCCTTTTAGCAAAAGCAGCGGTAATTCAGTGTGGATTTTGGTCATTATGCTCCAACTAATACAGGAAAACCACTAGATTAAATTAATGTAATCCAAGTGTTGATATTTCCTTATAGTTCGATCAGATGAAAATCCATTGTCCTTATCATTTGACCCACTAGACCAGAGACATTTTTGTTTACAATATACAAAGACTGTCAGGCTAATAATTCTTCCCCAACACTTTTAATGAAAGACAGAGAATTTGTCAAACTTGAACTTTTGCAAGTCTAAAATCAGCTTGGAAATTAGAGATGGATGCTGTGTTTTATTGAAACTATAAAGCTGTTCTGCTTAAAGGGCTTATTCTGTGCCACTTAAATCCCCAAAGTGTTCATTCCATCTGACTTCATCTGATTTCTTCTGAAATGACTAGCAGCTCTCTTATCGTCCTGTTATCAGCGATTTACACTTTCCAGGGAAACTTCCTGTGGCGGTCATATCTCAATCGTTTCCAATATTCCAAGGTAGCAGGGACTTCCAAACAAACCACAACTGTGTGTCCCAGCATCAAACGCACACTTTTAAAAAAGCTGCACAATGTCAATTAATCTGTACAGGAAGAAGAAATATAGAAATATAGCTGAGGGATGCAACTTTCTTCAAACTTGAAACTCAAACATGGCTAAATGAACTACATCTTAAAAAGCATTTTGTGCTAAAAACCATACATAGTTTCACAACATTTGTGGGGTATCCTTTATCAGTTTATATGCCAGCAAAATATTTGACATTTAGAAGGAAAAGACTGATAACTACAGATCTATATGCATGATAAATAATCTGACTACATTTTGATTTAAAACCAATTCAAACCAAAACCAGAGCAAGCAGTCCCATTTAAAAAAGAGCCTTTCAGAGCAAGCAAAAAGTGGTGATAAAACTTTAAAATGTGTAACCATAATGTTTAACCGTTATTACCTATGGCTCCTCCATGCCTTAACGTTCACCCAACAAGTTGACACGTCAATCCCAAAAACTGGAGTGCTTTACATATTTAGCAACAGCATGATGAGTTCAGGAGGATGAGACGAAGGAAAGCCAGTCCACATCATTGCACATAAACCGTTTTCTCTATAAACAGTACCTAAAATGAAAAAGACAGTGCACGACGTTACCTACCAGGTTGAATTTGAGAGGACACGGACGCTTTGACACCCTTAGGCCCCGCGTTGCCGTTAGCATAAGCTAGTTAAACATTACTTAGCCAACTAAAGAGTCGAGATGTCCTACATCAAGTCGGCGGCTTAACTGAATGTGGCGTGAAAATATGGCGCTTAAAAATACACAAGATAACGGTTAACGCAAGCTACCGCTAACCTCTGAGCCTGCCAGGCTACCTGTGTCTCCATTTAGTTAACGGAATCAAAGCTAGGACCGGCTAACATCGAGCTGTATTAGCAAACTCAGTAGCATCACAGGTCGTCTCAAACAACGGTTGCTAACGTTAGTTAGCTCCAGTTGCTGCTCGCGTGCTAAGAATTTAGCCGGAATACGGTCGTAACTTCAGATAAAGTTGACGGTAAACGAGTTGCTCGGGCGACGCTTTACCGACAGCAAAGCATCACGACTCGCTCCGTCCCGTGCGCGTACATCAGTGCCATCGCCGACTTCAGACGGAGCTCGTCTCACCTTGTTGCTGTCATCCTCCTCCTCGCCGGGAACAGTTGTGTTTTGCTGCCATTGGCGCTGTCGCAGTTCGGTCGGGGTTGCCAGATCACGCGAGGGAAACAAGTAAATCAGCGCGCGGACAGGTAGCATCCCTTCGGAAACTTTGATTTCTTTCTTGCTACCAATCTCTGAATCCGACGTTTTATCGAGTATGTCACGTCAAAAAGCTTAAATTATTAGCTTAAATCATATTTGTTTGAAAGCTAAACTCCAGTTTTTATCTTAAAACTGAGACTTTATAATGTGAAACGTACGTTAAAAATAAATTATTTAAATGATAACAGCATATGGCCTCTGAACAACTCGTGTTTCCTTTTAAAATAAATAAATAAAATAAAACAAAAGATTACATTGTTAGAAGGCTGGAGTAGCGTGACTTGACAGTCCAGTCACACCTTTTTTAGAGGTTAGGTTTTCAGATTATATGCAATTTGTTTGAAAGCTAAACTCCAGTTTTTATCTTAAAACTGAGACTTTATGATGGGAAACGTATGTTAAAAATAAATTATTTAAATGAAAACAGCATATGGCCTCTGAATAACTTGTTTCCTTTTAAAATAAATAATAAAAATAAAACAAAATTTTACATTGTTAGAAGGTTGGAGTAAAGCGTGACTTGGCAGTCCAGTCCCACCTTTCTCAGAGGTTAAGTAAACAGAATATGTGCACATGACAGGTCAGTGTACTCTGAAAATTCGATGCTTGAAAGAACAGCTGTATCTCAACTTCCTGAAACACAGCCCAGCATTTAAACCGCAGAGGCAGTTTCGCGTCCACATTCGTGTGAACTTGTCGGGGCTTTTCTGAGATGTTTACTGGTGTGCGAGTAACACGTCCCTTTTTACTAGCATCCATGACAATGAGTGGCAAAAAAAGACAGGAAATGGAGAAGTATTATGTCTTTACATGTTTATTTTTGTGTAAGGCAGTGTTCTACTCTGACATACAGTAAGATTTTCAGAGGGCTAAAAAAAGAAAAAAAAATATTGACAGTATGTAACAACAGTATTTAGGCATGACAGTGAAATAGCTGAGAATATAAATACAAATTGATATATATATAAACGTGTCTCACAAAGAAGATGACTAACGGTGAAAATACTAGTGTATCTTGACATTTGATTGTAAATCCTAAACAAATGCGAGCAAATGATTGTTGTGTTTGATAAACTCGCTTACAATTTGCACTTAAGAGATGATCGAGCTCAAAGTAAACGGGACATGAAAGTAGGAGGAAAACAAAAATGAGCTCTGGTTTGTAAAGTCCAGAGGCAAACACAATAAACCTGTTCTCACTTCTGTGTTTTGTCCAACACTGTTTTCTGCAGCCAATCCATTCAAACAGCTCTGCAAGGTCTTATATAAACCATTTTGACCATTTTAGGAGACCTGTGTGTAAATGAGCCATACAGATGTGATGGTTCACCTTTTGAAGCTTTCTACCACGCGTTAATCAAATAACAAAATAAGTTAAAAAGGCAAGAACTGTTTGTCCACCTGTACGTTACTTTCAAATTTTGTTTAGGATAAAAAGAGGGGGGGGGGGATTACATCTTTGAAAAATAAGCAATACGTTTTACATACATCTGACCCTGTTCAATTATCAAGAGACAATAAATGGGAAAAAGGTTTACTCAGGAACAATGTCATCCTTTTGAAATGATACAAAAAATAATCTTGCCATGAAATTAGGCTGAACAGAAAAAACATTATAACAAAGGAAATATGTGACAGATGAGCATTCAAATATTCAAAGGCAAGCTGAGTGCAGCGGTCCTGTTTGGCAACGGGAACCGGGTCGATAAACACCGTTCCCTAAAAAGAGTTTCAATACAGTTTAGCAAAAAAAAAGAAAAAAAAAGAGAAGGCTATTCAAGAACATTCAAAATAATTCAGCAGCTTAATGAGATGAAACTGAGACCCGATTCACTGCAGAAGAAACAATGATTCCCTTAAATACTTTCAACTAACATCTACGCCACTAGAGTGCAAAGTAACGGGTACTGTGCAAATGTAGAAAAATCTGACCTCCAAGTATTGTGCTAAAAGCAACATGATGTCATGGTACAAACTCAACAAGTCGGAATAATTTCCAAGTCCAGTTCAGCTTCCTTCCTTTCACAGTGAAGAAAGACTTCTCAAAACAATCATTGTGCGAGCGAAAAAATGAACAATTACTGCTTTGGGTGAAGGGGGAAAAAAAAAGAAAAGAAAAAAGGAAAAAAAAAGAAAAATATGTGTGATCTGAATGGGGATCGGCTTATTTCAGGGCTGCCTCTGGAAGAGTGCTGCAGGCCGGGGGGCGAGCCCCGTCCCTGGACGTTCGGCCCTCCCTGAGGAGCGCCGCTCTCTCCCCCGGCACGGCGGCGGTGGGGGGGGGGCTCGCCGATTGGCCGTTCCCCGGCCGGCCGCGGGTCGGGCGGGGGAAAGGCACGCGCCTCGCCTGGGTCTGAGCGAGACTCTGCACCTTATCGGTGATTTCCCCGTCCGTCAGGGGGAGGCTCAGAGCCACGTCTGACCTCGTTTGCCACGATAAGGCCATAATGCTGTTACTGTCTCCCACCGCCGACGCAGACACGACTACATTCTTCTGGTAATATGGCGGGGATTCTCTCTCCGAGTCCTTTTCGGTCTGAGGGCGGGAAACTGTAGCCGCTCTGTTATCTCGGTACGTCTCGGGCCTCTTCAGCTCAAGGCTCTCGGTGTCCAAAGACCTGCTCCTCCTGTCCAGGGACAGCGGGTGAGGCATGGGCGGGCTGGCTTTGGTGAGGCCGAGGTGCCGTGGGAGACTGGCGACGGCCCACGTGTTGCTGATCAGGTTCTGCTCGTACAGCTCCAGCATTTGATAATCGCACTCGGCGAAGGCGTCCTTCTGCAGGTAGCTCTCCTCGAACTCCTGATAAGGCGAGGAAATGTCCTCCTCCAGCTCCATGTGGATCTGCTCGTCGTACTCGCCCTCGTTGTGCATGTCCACCACGTCGAACGTGACGATGGCGGGCAGGGCCTCCATGTTGGGGGTGAGGGCGGAGCTGGCCTCCAGGCCCAGCATCTGCTGAGTGTGTTTGGTGTAGTCCACCAGGGCCTGGGAGAAGCTCACCGCCTGCCGGTCGTCCCGGTAACCGCCGCGCTCCGGAGGCTGGGGGCCGGCGTTCCTGTAGGGCAACGCCACCGGCTTGTTCTCCTCCAGGGACTCCTCTTTGGGCTCGCAGAAGGTTTCGAAGTCCGGGTCCGACGTGCTCCCGAACGACGGGCTGCAGAGCGTCTCCGGCCTCGTTCTCCTGTCGGCGCCCTCGCCGTTTTCCTCGTAGAGATCCGCCCCATTGTTGCTCGATGGCGTCTGGGGTTTCGATATTGTGGAGCTCCGCGACAGCTCCGGAGATTTGTCGCACGACTCCAGAAAGCCTTCTCCGTACAGCTCGGCGCCGATTTGCAGGCGGCTCATTTCGGGAACGTAGGCGGAGTCTCCCGCTCCGACGGGTTCGGCGGAGAAGTCGCCGCTCGGTTTGGAACCGGGGAGCTGGGGCGTGTTTTCGTATCGGGGGCTGACGAGGCTCTCGTCGGGGGCGAAGAGCTCGTAGAGCGCGTCTCCGCTGTAGCTGTCCCTGGCCATTCGGCCGGGCCTCGGCCGCTCGCTCCTGTCCTGCCCCTCCTCCGGCCCGGGGGTGGTGGAGTCGTAGTAGCCCTCGTCGCTGTTGGGAACCGACTCCTGGTGCTCGCTCTGAGGCGTTAAAACGTCGGCGGTGGAGGACGAGTCCACACCGGCCTGCGTGCTGCTGTTGTTGAGGGTGTGGGAGCCGGTCAGCTCGGTCCGGTCCGGGTCACAGCCACAGCAAATCTCCTCCTCCTCCTCTTCATCCTCCTCCGCGTTGATTTCCCAGAAGTCCCGCAGGCAGGATTCGTCCAGGTCCTCGGGCGAGGCCATCTCCTCGCCCCCGCCCTGGTAGGTGAGGTAGCAGGAGGCCCTCTTCCCGCCGGTGCGGCTGCTGCGCTCCCCGGAGACGCTGCTCTCCGTCACGCTGTCGTCCTCCCGCTCCGCCGTCATGTCGCCGCAGCCCGTCAGCGAGTCGAAGCTCTTCAGCGACGCCACGTCCTCCAGGAGCAGGTTCAGCCGGTCGGCGGAGCCCGCGGGCGACTCGCAGGGCGGCGGTTCGGGATCGGGGTCGGGATCGGGCGCCGCCCGGGGCCTCGGGCAGAACGCGGCCTCCCGTTCACCGGAACACGCATCATTTGGCGACTCGTCCTGCTGGGAGTTCGGGCTTTCTCGCTCCACGCCGTTTTCTACAGCTATTGCACCCGCGCCGCTACATTCAAGGCCGATGGGAATTTCGCACGCAACGTCGGGAAGAAACTCAGGCACGTCGGCTTCGGGTCCCAGGCACTCAGTGGCGTTGCCCCGGGCAACAGGCACCTCTTTCCTGCAGAGGAGAGCGGACGCCGGGGCCGTCTCCGTTTTCTCCTGTCCGTCGTTTCTCTGGCTCCGGTGATGCTTAAAACTTTGGAAAAGACCCCGCAGACCCTTCCTCTGCCGGCCGAGGCTGAGCGACTTGTGGTCGGGGGCGGGGTGACTACATTCGTGGTGGCAGCCGCCGTGGAGATCTCCAGCCCTCTGGCTCCCGAACTCGAAATCTCCAGCCGAGGCGTCTCCGTCGTGGCCGACCTTACTGAGCCCGTCGTGAGTCTTGCTCTTGCCCATGCCTTTTTTCGAGGCCCACTTGCTCTGATTTTTGCTCCTCCCTCCGAAGAAGCTCGGCAATATGCAGATGCTTCGGCGGACGCCGAAAAACGTCAGGGCCGTCCTCCGGAATTTTCCCGGTTTTTGGGCTTTCACCGTCGCATTCGTGGGCTCCAGAAGAAGCTCCTCCGTGACAACATCAGGACCACATCTGGAGGGCCGATTAGCGCCTGAAGGTAAATCCCTGGCGTCGTTCGGTAGGTCCTCCACCTTGAGAGAAGCCATGGCTACCGCATCTAAAAGAGCACGCCTCTAATGCTCAGCATAATAATTTAGGTTTAAAAATTGATAGTGTGACAGAAGCAAGTTTTTCCTCCATCTGATAGGAGTCCTGTTGAAAAAAAGAACAAAAAAAGAAATAGATTAGACAATATTAAGTCATTTGTAACATCCACATTACATTTTTTAAGCATTCTGGTGTCAATTAATTAATTCTGTACAGTAATTATGGCTGATCACACTAGCATTTATGAGGGATTTAATGCGTTTACATGCATGTTTTCATTAGGATTTAGCTAAATAACTAAATGACATTGCAGATCACTTTCCATTTAGTCTGCATATTAACTTGTTTATATTTTTCAAATCAAAGCAGGTTTGGCTGATGTTGCCATGGTGTCACTATGGACAAGAATGGACTTTACGAAGTTAAACAAAAATAAACTGCAATCAAAACTATGGTTAGAAACTATCAAATCATACAGAAACTGTATGCCAAATTTAGCACTCGGACCAAATCAGCAATATGGCATTTTGGTCTAATATTACAGCATGGAAAAAATACAACCTCCTGGCTTCAAATACCAGTTTTTTATTCAAAATCTTTTTCTGAATCAATGCAAAATGCATCGGGACAAAAGACTGAATTGCAAAATTAATGCTGGGAGGCTGAGACTTCACCAGAGCTCAGCAGAAATGAATATCTACGGCTGCACTCCGAGAAATAAAAGACTGAGAACAGGTCGAGCTAAAACGAGCTCGAGCCCGAATGAGCGCGAGCGCGTTAATGGGCTCGCGAGCAGGTGAGAAAGCAACAGGTTTATTACAAAGAACTGAGGGGGGAAAAGGCTCGTTTTCTGTCTCACTTCCAGCTACAACAGCCCGCACACGGAGTCCAGGAGGAAACAAACTTACCAACCACTGTCTGGCGCTTATCGGCGGATGTTTGTTTGCTTGTTTGTTTGTGTTCTCGCACGGGGCACGTGCGTCAGTGCGCGACTTCTGCTTCATTTGCTCCCGGCCGCCGCTAGCTAGCCGCGGAGCCAGCTAGCCGTGGTGTGAGTGTCCATTTTCAGGCTGACAGCAGCTGGCCGGGGCTGGCGTTTTTTTTTTTTTTAAATAAAAATGCACGTGAGCACACCTGCCAATTTGGATCAGGCCGTTCGGCTTAGCCTCGCGCGCCGGTATCTTCTCTCATGGTCACGAGAGACACACTCGTTTGGAAACAAGGCGACTTCCTCTCCCGACTTCTGAGGTGGTTTTCCCAAATCTCCTTTCGTGGCTCTCCGCGGCGCAGGTTAGTGACGCAACACGTGTGGAACGATTACGCGTTACACACACACACACACACACACACAAACACACACACACAAACACACACACGTAAACATGTCTGACACACACACACGAGCCAGAAACGACTGGAGAACACTTAACTGCGTAGTTCATGTGTAAAATGTTATTTAGAATCCTTCATTACATCCCTAATTTCCAGTTCCAGTTTAAGCCCTGATAATTGCCATACAACCATGATGCAGTCAAATCAAAGTCATTGTATTCAAAATTGATTAAAAAAAAGCCAGTTTTAAAAAGTTGCCAATTACATCAAGAGACTGGATTAAAAAATATTTTTTCAAATGTGTATGATTGTTGTCTAATCAACTGTTTTGGTCAATGTAGTTTCATAGACAAATTGCGGAGTATAATCATGATAGAAAATATTAGTGAAAATGTTTATTTAATGAACTAAATTAAATTCATCCAAATGCAGAGTCCTGAAGAAAAATATCATTTATTTGCCTGGCCAAATCGAAATCCATCTGATAGATGTCTTTAACCAGTTTAATGATGTTTTGTTATTGGGCTGGTTATCAGATGCAGCAGCCCCATAACTGTTTAATTCTAATAATAATGGTTTTTAAAAAATGCTGTGATTGACTGTATTGAGCACTAATGACACAGAGCCAGTCGCAAGTCCACCTTTGGAGGCAAAGAGGAGATGACTGGTAAATTGCAGTTTCTGTGTTATGACACGCGCTGAATCCTGACTGAAACTCTTCAAACAGATTCATTCTGTGGAAATGATCGTAAGGTTTAGAATGGGGGTTGTGTTGTGTACTGTTTTTCTGCATGTATTTGCAATTGAAAACATTGCACTGATGAATATGGAAATACCCCTAAAAAAAATACCTCCAGAAGTTCCACGCCAGCAAAGTGCTGAACGTGGTGCTACTGTGAAATCCCCAGATATATTCAGGCAACAGAGTTTGGTAAAAGAGAAGTGCATGACTACTTCACACCCTGCCTTTCTTTCCACCAACACCAGCCTGAAGTACCTTGACACTTTCTCGGTATTATGCTAATGATTTTTTATCCAACTGTGTTATCGTTCTAATTCTAGAGAATGATGCGCCTCCCATTCTTACAGTAAGTACGAACAAAGGGTCGGAGGACTGTGGAGAAACCTTTGTGTGATTAACAAAAAGAGGAGGAAACATTCACAAAATGATGCATGGGTTGTTGGGAATGCTTTAAGTCAGTTTATGCCCACTTTGAGAAGCAAATATTCAGACTCAAGAGTTTTACATAGTATTTTTTATCCATCCATCCATCCATCCATCCATCCATCCATCCATCCATCCATCCATCCAT